GCCACTCATCGTATAAAAATGCAATAAATTACTTTTTTTCTTTTTCTTATCCCAGACGAGTCTGGACTGGAGGGTTAACTTTATTCGCTGATGTGGATGTAATAAAGATTTTCAATTGTTAAAGGCCTAAAAACTCATTAACTTTGTTAGTTAATTTCATGGCTTTAGGTACTTGCATGTGTTATTAAATTGATGCGATAAATGATTTTTAAATATATATTAAAGTTTATTATAGCTTTATCTTCATAGATCAGTGTAAACTGATGAGAATTTGTACATTACAAATCTTATCTACTTGATATTCTTTAATACAATGTTGTTATTAAAACAATCTTAAATCGGGATCAAGTTCAGTTTTATTTGTAATATTACTGCTTAGTTACTTATGCATAACATGAATTTTCCTTCTAGTTACATGTAATGATGAGCGTGTATCAGATATCTAGACGGAAGATGGACAGACAGTCCGTTGTTAATTCCAAAGGTTTAGGTCAAAGTGCTGACGCCAAACTATTCTCACTGTTATAAGGGCCATTCTACTGCCTACGCAATAATTACAGTAAGCTGTGTTAATATACGAAGCTTATAATAAACGCTGTATCTTAGAGAAATCAAAGAAATAGCGCATGACTGACTTCGGTATTTATTTCTTAATTAAATGTTCTGGTCATTTATTTTAATTATTTACTCACCCACAAAGGCTTAATTAAAGTGTACAAATGTATATACCTACAGGTACTGAGCATGAAGTTTTGTGGAACTTACAACGGGTTCAAAAACACCAGACAAGAACAATAAATATTACCTATAGACAAATGGACAAAAAAGGAGAATCCTAATCAAGTCTCTAGAAATCTTAGCGTTTCTTTTTGTAAGGCAAGTAGGTACATAATGATATATGTATAGATAATAATTGCAGTATCGTGGCGGGTTGACAACCAGTGACTCGAGAGCCTCTGGCAATGTCGACAGGAATGCCACGCCAAGTGCAATTTTCCACCACAACCAGGTTCAATTGTAATTTTCATTACCGGTCCCAAGAGTTCGCGACCTACTCTAATTAGCTTAGATGCTTATGATTAAACGACTCGGTCACGACTCGTCGATTTACCTCAAATCCGTCGCGCTTTTGTCTTGCGAGGTCGGGCCATCCGTCAAGTCGGACACTGGCTGGGAGCAATGTTGATGTATTCATGTTATATGCTGAGAAACAATTGCTCAGCTCAATGAGAAACTTAAGGTAATCAGTGTAACTTAGACTACTGAAGTTTGACATTTATCACGTTGTCACAGGATATGAGTTAGGAGAGGCTTTAGCTTCGACCAGTAGACGTAATGGTCTAACAAGCCAGGCCGCTTCAGGGGCTAATGTTCATTTATGTTACTAATATTGCTGTTTGTTGTTCCACTTAAACAAGTATGGTGGTGGGGCACGAACGTCCATCCATTAAAGTTTTATATGAGTATGATGATATAGTAGGCACCGTAGGCAGGTCGCTACGTAAGTCCGCAGTCAGCCTCCGTTAAGACTATGATAGATGGCTGCCACAACACGCTGCTCGTATCAGACCGATTTGTACCTTTGAACTGTTTAAACAAAGATATGGTGGATACTTAGATAAATCGGATTTTACCTTTTTAATCCTATGTACAAAAAGTTCCAAGAATTAATTCGAAGAGGTCAGAAACCAATGGAAAAGTTGCCTCGTGGGTCCATCTATAGATACGAAAAATTAAAGAGTTTTAAGTAATCACGGCCGCGTTTCGTGCGGTTGTGTCCGACTTTTCACCAATTAACCGTACATAGGTCTGAATCTAGAACTTGTCTGAAGACACCTTTACTTTCTCACAGTTTTTGTGTAATTACCTACAGTTAGGTATCATTGGCATCCGGTTAGTTGGCAGAGCACAATTGGGTGTAAAAAAGCTCTTGACGAAATACTAGTTTTGCTTCAGAGCTTGCAAGTGGGTAATTTGTATCTTCATTTAAAACAGGTTGCGTGTAGAACTCTAACAAAGCTAATTAGCAAAAATAAAATAATGGTCTAAACTAATTTCGAGAACTATCAAGTGATAAGCGAAATGGTAAAAAGTTGTTTTCGTTGTGTAGTACGTGTAAAAAATATAACTGACAGTCGTCTCGAGTTCTGTTGTAATTTTTTTGTCTTATGTACATGATAAATCAGCCGTACGATTTGAAAGCAACTGTGCCTAATAAGTAGACCGTTATCCCAGGCCCACGCTCAGGTAGATAAATAGGTACACTAACATACTAATTTAACAGGATGTCATTAACTTGGTAAGCGCACTTATCTTTTGTTTTTTCGATGGGACATTGATCTGCTATTTCGTTCGACTGATGTTTGAACTGCATTTAGCTCACTTTGCTTTGGCGACATTTTGCGTCGTGTTTCGACCAAGTGAACACGAAGTGACTGTCACCTGTCGTACACGGATCTCCAGAGATATCTCGTTCTTTATAAAACAGCCCATTATTATCCATTCATCTCCGTAAGACAAGTATGACAACCGGACCCGATGAAATTGATAACATTTAACATGCACACCGATGCACAGTTGTATCACACGACCAAATCTTGTGTTGTAAGTACCTAGGTATTGTTTGTTATGGTGACTTCTTGAAATAACAATCCAGTATTACTCAATTACCTTTTAACTTCGATAGTTCTTTTAATTTACAAAAAATCACATAATTTTCCTAGTAGAGTTCTCTTGTTAGTCAGAGAGACTGCCTCGTTGGCCGGGTCGGGAAAAGTATTACAGAGTTTTTAAATATTCTCAGTAGTAGCACGGAGTCTGAAATTGTGCCTGGTATATGGCAATAGGCTCACCCCCTATCACTCATAACATAAATAGTGAAAAGTGGGTGTTACATTGTACAGTGGTATAATGTGCACCTCTGCCTACACCTTCGTCGGGGATAAAAGGCGTAATGTTATGTTATGTTAGAGTTCTCTTATACATTTATTTGTCACAATTTGGTATTATGATTATCTATATTTTATCTACTTACCTGAAGCGGAATTGCAAGAGTTAATATTTGAGTATGTAGTAGGTATATTAATAACATACATGCAGGCATTAACTCGTAATGAGGCCAGTATTTGGGGACACATCCGCATTAAGACAAACCGCTAGGATTTTACCGATGACATTAATTTGCAATCGATTCTGCACGTAGCATATGCAGTTGTTTAAACTTGTTTTCGTTCGCTTCCAAAAATATTTTCAATTAGCGAGCGTGTCGAGGTGTCTACACTGTCTCAGTAGACACATGTAGGTTGTGGTCCCTGGTTGTTGTGTCTTTATTGGCCGTGAAGTGTCGAGTCCTCTTCAGTCGGCCGCCGCGAGTGTTTGGATATCTCTAGGTCACGGTCAACATTCGCTTTGTCATGCGCGCTTATTCGCCCCTCAAACCTAGTAATCACTACCTAAATATTGCTCTCCATAAGTGCTGTACCTACCTTCCTAATTATCTACGACGCCGTCTAATTTGTTCTCCGTAATAAGTTCGCGCCAAACACTTTTTGTTCGAACAAAAACTAACACAGGTGATGTGCCAATACTGTTATTTTGTTTTGCATATCTGTTTCGTTAGACATCAATAGGTGTCGAACAAGTTCGCTACATCCAGTTCGTAGCGGGTACATGTTGGGTTTGTCCATTACGGAACACATCCCGCCTATTGTAATGATGTTTGGTGCTTACATCCGTCAAGATCCTATCTCGATAAATAAACTAATGACTGAAACACACCTGTTGTTCGCGTGGGCGGGACTTGTAATGAAGATGAAGATAGCTCCCAGCAGTTTGATGTTCGCACAATGGACCTGAAGCTCGTATCGCATCCATTTTGAATCTGTTTTTGTAGTCTGTAATAAATATTTATTTATCATGTTTCATCCCATGATAAGTCTTGCACTTATCAATATTGTTTCAAGTTACATACAATAGCTCCCTCAAGAATTCGAATATCTATTAATAAATTGCAAAATTGCTAATTAATTCGTCATAAGATAAGAAATTGTTTAATACTCAAAATTTTCCGTTTTCGTTATTTTCACAATATCCTTGGTACCATATCTAACAATGACGACTTTAAGAAGGAACGTAGGTAGTTATCATAACCTGAATAATGGTTTGAATCCCCAGAACGACCGGGCAGAGCAAAATTCAACGTAAGTCTTAAAAAGTCTGGTTACGAAATTGGTAATGAACTTGTGTAAAACAGAGGTAATTGTACGAGTAATGCGGTTGACGCAATGTGGTTTGTTCTGGTGGTGGTAAATCTTGGCTGGTTGGACTAATTGGCCATATTGTGCTATTACCGGCGTAATGGTGGAGAGGCCATTAGGCGGGCACGAGTCGCGGTGACGATACCTGAGCACAGCCAACGACCCATGCGCTTGCGCCGCGCCCGCCATACGGCACACATATATTTGCATATGGCCAATCAAACAAATGAGGAACTATTTTTATGTAAATATGATACACGATTTGGGGTCCAAGTTCAAAATAGTTATTTTGTGAAGAAGTTGATTCACTTAAAACGGCGGTGTCAAACGTTGAGCAAACAGTAACGGGATCTCGTTCAAAAGTTTGGTGAGCTGCTTAACCCGCATTACAATGTATGCGCAGGCCGCAGACACATGGATAGCAAATGACTATGAGTTATTGTTGGAGTGTCGGCGGCTCCCCTCGGGTGCTGCTTTAATTGGAGAAACGGCTGGGTCAATGGGTGATGACCGCAGTTCGCAGGTAATAGCAGACTTAATAACTTCACCTGAATAAATCACGCGTACCCGTTATTATTTCTTCAAATGAATGTTAATTTGACAAGGCACGAATAGAAGTGCGAACTAATCATACAGTAATATCGAACAATGAAGTGCTCACGAAAGTAAGCAAAAAATTAATTCGATTAGAATGTAAAAACCGTCTGTAATAAAAACACATTTATTTTCATATTGCATATAGGTACAATTCGAAGAATAAAAGTGACGAAAGTAGATACAATTTTATTTAATGCGATCAACCAAATTGGTATTACATTGTTATAAACGTTTTTACTGTACAACGTTTCAGTACAAAAATATTGATAGTAACATATCTCAAGCTAGTATGTTCTACATTTACAAAAGTTTATTATGCATTCATATACATTAACACGCATAACAATCAATACTCCAAGTTACTGACCAAAATATCAAAATACGCGTAGAAAACGTTAAGGAAAACTTCCAACGCGTTTATTAAAGGCCGTCAACTCGTCAATGTGATGTAACGTTTATCTAAAATAAGGACAACAGTCTTGTAAAGCTGTATTATAACTAAGTATACTTACTATTTACATGCAATTAAACTGATGTTACGATGTTACTGAACCGGGAACAAGCCGCAACTTATCGTTACTCTATGACAAATGTTTAATTAAATCATTATACCATATACATGTAAGTACTCGCTTAATAATAAAAGGCACATTATAATCGTTTAATACAAGCTAGCTGACTGTAATTCGACCACATAAAAGTTTAAATGGTAGTGTTGCCATGAGCCAGAGTCGACTCGTCGTACGGGAATTATTCGAGTGACTATGAATTTCTCTTACAACAAATTGGTTATATGATAGCACAGAGGTGTAAAGCCTCCTACTCCTGTCCCCAATAAAACAGTTACAAATTGAGGAATTTCTCCTATTAGATTAAGCGGTTTTTGATGTTCGCACACTTGGGTATACATACACATTAATCTTGGATGAAACTATTGATGTCATGTCGTCTCAAGTTACACAAAATATAAAAAAAATATACACGTTCTATACCATCAGTTTAATTATGCTACGTCAAATAATATTATACATTTCCAAAAAATACCTAGACAAAATCAATAGTATATTTTTATAATATATTACATTAATTCATATACGTGGTGCCATTTCTTGTGCTCATTTACAAATGACTGAACCAAACACAACCTCTTGACTCAAGTAATAAATTCAAACAAAAAACACACCATTTTGGCATAATCTACATTTGAAGAACGTCTTCCTTTTATGTGCATAATGTGTTTATCTTACCTACATTTTTGACAATTCATTTACATTTTTATATACCAAAAAAAGTTATCCTTTAAAATACACCATAAAATATACCGCTAAATGCAAATAATATGATATCAAAATGAATTTATCACAAATACATAAAATAAAAGTGAAAAATCTTATACGTCGAAGATAAGTGACTAGTTTTAAGAATGGCTGGCGCAATACCTATTGGCTCAGTAACGCCACCATTTGAGTGGAAATAAACTCATAGGTCAGTGACAAACAAATGTACCAGTATGATAATGGTTGTAATTGACATGTATATTGGCAAGAAAAATGTATTATGTAGAGAGACAAGACGCATTCGACAGTCCTATGCAAAGTGTGAATTGTAGGTGTTGAAGGCTATTATTAGCCGCGCCGAAGTTTAACGAAGCGTAATACAAGACCGGCGCCGGATTAGGTTTTTTCTGATCGGATTCGGGTCCGGACGTCGCAGCAGTTACGAGTAATTAAGCGGTCGGTTATGAGGTGTAATTACATGTGAAAATAACACTTATGAGTGGAGCAGGGTCGTTGAACTGTGCAGCAAAAAATGTGGTAAAAAAGACGACGAAAAAGTTGCCCAGCCTCAAGCCTGGTTGTCAAAACACGTCACAGGAATATGGATGTGTCGCCTGCGGCGTGCGCGCTTCTGACGTAGGGCTGCCAACTGCTAACGGTCTATTGACATCGATCGAATGAACTGGGCACCTTAAAACTCTCTGCTAATTTAAAATGTAAATAATAAATCATCTATTAAGTGAAAAAGCGTGTTAAAATGGCAAATACGAAAAAATACTTCGTCAGAATTTCTCTAAATTTTACTGATGTGTATGAAATGACGAGTAAAAAGTTATGTAGATGGTAAAATTTTTGAGGTTTGATGAAGATTCGTAATGACAGCCCTAGATCGGCAAACCGCCGCACTCTTATCGGCTCAGCAGTTTATTGATCGCGAGAGGCTTCGGTAGTCGCCGACGCCCGATCATTGTTTGCTAATGAGACTTCGGGAAGCACAGGTGGTCCGCTGCGATCTAACTCAGTTAACTAAAACAAATATGATGTCATGTTGACAATAACAAATGAGTCCCATTAATTTATCCTAAACGTCGCAGTAGGTACTAGGATAACATACGCTATGGATATATCAACTAGCAAGTTACACGGCTTTTGTTCTCTTTATAATTCCTATCGTTACCTTGAGAGACGTAACAGTTCTAGCACTAACTTATTTAACACTATTACAAAGTTCACATAATTACTTACAACATAAACGTAAAAATCGCAACGCGGTGAAAGGTTCACGCCACAAACGCACATTCAGAGCTTGCATTATAAAATATCGCATTGCTTTGTCCGGTGCACGATTTCCAGCTTTAAAATGCACAGAACAATGCACACGATTTTATACAGGAATGGAAAATCAAACTATAGGTACAATTGACGGAAGACAGCTTACATTCTAAATTGGTGAAGGCTCGCCACCAGACCGCACTACACTTCAGTTCGCCCAACACTTGACGTTGAAGCTCTCACACAAGCATGGATACATCGACCGGCTGAATTTTGATAGGGTTTGAGGTAATTTGTATTCATTGAGGTTTGAAGCTTCAACGCGTTGTTATTATAACTTTGACAATAAAAGATCTGAAACATGTACGTAGCACCTCATCATATTTACAAATTCTAATAAAATTTATAATCACAAAAATATAGAAACAGTTTTATTTGACATTTATTCGCTGTCATCGATCAGTTTTTCCATTTAGTTAGCACGCGATACATCCGTATTCGTCCGTTACGAAATGTGACGCGTGACGGACGCATTCAATTTAGTAGTGGATATTGCTTGTTTTCGTTACGTGAATCGATGAAATATGTCCGTGGTGATACCTAGCAAAAAATCGAACATTTCTCCTGAATCATTCTCGGCTCCCCTTTTATCATCTTCCTTGACGACCTGTGGACAAAGTTTTACATAAAATTAATAAATTATCATACATTCTCCAGACTCATCTAGAGCTTGTTAGGTTACATGTGAAATGGATTGCCTTATTGTGGTAATATAAGGAACCTACAATCTACGTGCGTAGCTGGTGCCTATCGTAAAACATTTTATGACAGCTACTTACAAGTAGATTCGTTTTGCTCTTATTTTTCGCAATAAGGTAAGGGCAATGGAAGGTAAGTGCGTAAGTAAATAGCGGCATTGCGTTGCACTGCGCAGTACACTTTAATATCTGCGACTATCTGATAACATCAATTAAGGTTTTAGTTACAGTGAAATATGTTGAGATTAACAGGTTAAGTGTGGAACGACCGTTATTTTGTGGTTCTCGTATATTTGTACTTCACGGCTGTGTTTCAAATTGAATCGGTATTCACGATTTATGCAGGTCGTTAGACGATTGTTGATATGTGTATAGAGATTAATTAAATTAAATACAATACCGGCTGGTGTATTTGTATCGGTTTCTGGTTGTTTTAAACCTGTTAGGAGCAATGCCTCGAGCTGTGTTCTAAATAGGCGCGCTATAAATGTTAAAGTGTCTCGCAGCTTAAAGTAATGATAGATTACTAACGCATCGCCTACAAACACAGTGCCCTATTTTTCTAACTTCATTCTTGGAACTTTGTCAAAGTATCTGTTTTGAATTATTTCTAATCAAATCAAACATTTAAAATAATTTTATATTTTATTCGTGCGTACAGCCATTATAACAAAGTATTCATGCAATTTGCGTTGCCGGGCCATTCCAAACATTGAATCGACATGTAATTTGAAGAGATTAGAATGTGACTGTCAATGATTGAATTCAGTAACATCTATCGCGAGAGCCACACTCACGTTTTTTACTATGAAATGAACATGGGTAATAATAGTTGCAAATCACTAAAGGTTCACAAGCAAATGATACAATGATAGCACATAAACGCGGCGAGATAATAATTTAATCATGATATTAGCCCCGCTCGAGGGCAAATTGCTCCGTTTATTTAGAGATGAAAAGAAAAAGAGTGTGACACACATTTAAAACAGGAGAGATCGTATCGCAAAAAGTTTAATGAATGGGACGCGGCAATGAGCATATTTCGTGTTCATTGTTGCCGATTTCTCAGAGCGATTTGCTAATAGCGGCTATTAGCCCGCCTCCGGTCACCTCCCGTGATGTTGCGTGTTGACTACCGGCCTTACTAACCTATACAAAAAATATAATTATTCCTAAAACGGTAACACTTAATTGATCCTCCATGTGTGTATATAGTCTTACGGTATAATTGGTGTCACGTTTTTTTCGGGTACCGCTCGACTGACCGTTCTAAAGTAGCGAATTTATCGATACGTTATTAACTTTAATTCTACATGCGGCAGAGTAATTACCAGTGAAGATAATGTACTGTACGGTTACCAAGTTTGTATTTGATTTATTCCTGTTTACTGAATGTGTAGTGCACTACAATTATTTTTATCAGATTTCGAACACAGTGTTTTAGCGAAATTGAAATAAGCATGAAATGTTTAAAACCATGTTATTACATTTCAATCATTTCGTAATACCACACCTTTTCATGTTTTTATTCGTAGCTGAGCTTAGTTTGTATCTAACGAAATTTACAGACCGTAAAATTACGGTGCAATCGCTGTAGCTACAACTAATGTGAATGTCAGAAGTTTGGTGCGGAGACCACAGGCAGTCCGCAGCTGACGAAACACAGGCATTAAGTACGGTGGGAATTTCTTTTATCGGAACAATCAAAATTATATTTACATTTTTACTATTTTATGCATGAGTCACATTAACAGTCATTAAAGTGTTGTACCGCTTAAATGTGGATTTCCTCGAAATAATCGACACAAAATGTCTTATTAAGTTTTAAATAACTAATTAATGTTGGTGTCGGTGCGGTGTTGCGGTAATTTGCGAGACTCCTGCTACAGCCGTGGATGATTGAGATCTGCGACATTCGTGCGGCGAGCGCCTGCGCAGGTCATTACGCCGAAACTTCGGTCTCGGCGTGCAACGGTATCGAGACGAGGCGCTGAGATGTTTTGGGACAAATTTAAACATATAAAGCAATACTTTACTCATTGAGCTTTTAATTTATGATAAAGAAGACTCACATCAATATTCTTTGCTCATTGTCATAGTGCAATGGAAACCACTGAACGGAAATACCTTTTTGATATTTGATGGACATTTTGAGAACTCGCTTTGGGCTTTAAAAGCGATTTGTGGATGAAAGTACCTACTAATGGACATTGATCTGTGATCTATAGATGTTAAGAATAGTTTAGTTTTTATGGTGACCCGATAATCAAACATTAATTTTGATTGACGATTGAAGTTTGTTATGAATAGATCTGTGTCAGACTTCGAAAACTATAAAGCGTTTGCATCGGTGTGAGAGATCTAGAAAGCTAACTATAATTTGATTCTGTGTACTCCGGTCAATTATAATTAATACAATGTAATAGTGATGTGTAACAAAAAGTTTGAAGAAGATGAACGCTCTCCCGATGGGGGCCGAAAGTGTGCCATCAGAGTGCGAGTACAAAAAGAATGATACTGATCACGTACAGAGCTGGAGTATTAAATTTTCCGCTTCGTTTTGGCGACAAACGGTTAGTGAACGGTCCAGCGCGCGTGTTGCGCTCGCGACCACCTCAATTCGGCGGGTAACGCCAGCCGGCCGGTCGGCGGACGCTATGCTGGCTTTTCAACTAAGTTTTGAATATTGTACTGTTCTTTTCACTGAATTAATTTCCATGGTATGACGCAGCATGACGATTCCAAGAAAATGATAAAACATGTTTATTTTATAATTATTTGACGTTGACTTTTGTTTAAGATTTGGCACATTTTATTATTTACTGGCTGCATAAATCGCTGTGAAATGGATTAAAAGAACATTATCTACATGTACAATCTTCAACATACTGACACGAAAACAATTTATACGTTTAATATTTTATTTTCTTTAGAAACGGGTGTTTAATTCCATTAAAATAGTTTTCTTCCAATCAAGCAACTAAAATGTTATCAGATTGTGTTAGTCGATTTATGCGGTTAACACCACTAGTGTTGTGTCGATCGACAGGCTGTATACAATTGATGGATGACTGTCCGATCCACACACACGCCAATCATGATTCGTGTCGATCGCCTGCAGCGACAACATCCAATACATGATACGGTAAGGATCTACATCGCCGACCCCACTTATTTAACCGTCCTCCTTTTATTTTCCTATGTTTGTTTTTGTGCCTTAAATAGGCACGACTATTCTTAGTATTCAAACCAATATTAAAATAATTAGTGTTATTGCTCGTTAGTGCCCTGGGGTTTCAATTCTCTTTTATCGTAGTTTAATCATCTGTATCAATTTGCTTTTTGTTATCTTATTTGTTTAATTAGTAGGATAAGCTTTTTTTACTACATGTTTTCTAGTGAAAATAATTTGATAGCAAAAATAATGGAAAAAAATATTTATCGTCTAATTATGTAGAGCTTTCATCACGTTCAACGTTCGTTTGAAAGTAAAAATCGAGCAAATACCTCCGCGGGACTTCTTTATTCAGAATAGTTCAGCGGATTTATGTCGCGAGACAATATGGTCCGGCCGTTCGAGACCCATACATACACTACACAAAAACTTAATGAAAGTCGAAAGTACGCTTTCACTTGTCGGCGGCATTGTATTGTGCGTCAATTGTATACAACACATTTTCAATTGTATTTCTTAAAGTTTTTTAAAACAAGGGTGGCGTACTCCCAGACGGCCATTAGCAGTCTAGCCGGTCATCGGCACAGAATTAGCTACAGCATAAATTTTAAGCAGGTATTGCACACAATGCGACATGTTCTAGATAGCATTATTATTTTTGAGTGGAGTCATGGTCGGTTTTGAATAGAATACGTTTCCAGAATTGAATAAAATCTACGGTTGATTTATTCAGGAGATGCGGGTGACGTTTTGTGTGTGGATAACGAAGCGGCTTTGGTGGGATTGGATAGACTCGTATCTCGTACTGAGCCTTGTAATATGAAATTACATCTGAAGCATGTAATGGAGGCTGTGCACCAGTAATAAGTGCTTGTAATGGTGTAAGAAAGGCGACGGCTCGCACCTGTGCGTCAAACAAGAGCTACCGGAGCTCGGCTGCGTCTGCGCATTGTGGACATATCAAGTGTCAAGCACTCAGCGCGATGACCGACATAAATTAAGGACAGATTTATATACGCTTACATTAATTTAAGTCAAGATAATATAATTTTATTCGTGATAAAACTTATCTAGATTTTCGGTAGTATTTTTGTTTACAACTGCAATAAAACTCGTTCTTCTGATAATAATTGTAATATTCAATGTAAATAGTGCTTTCACGAAGTGGTATGCACTGACAGTTTTTGGTTAATAATTTGTGACAGTAATAATATAAATATTATTCAACTAGAAGACCCAAAAATGTTCAATAACATTAAATAACAGTAGATTACGGCTACATAAATAGTTCTTACACGTATTTGTAAGAACTATAATTACAATTATTGCCGGCCATGTTTTATTTATACCACACACGAAGTTTCATTGCCGTTTAAAATAAAATAATATGTTATTTGGAGCAATTAGAGTTCTTAATAATTTGATGGCGTCGCGTCATTAATAACTGAAGCGTCGTAAAAATGTTCTATGTAAGTATGGTACGTTACTACAAACACACATACGAACATATTATTTAAAAAAAAATAGTGACTATGAATTTTTCTTTTTTTAATGGATTTGGATCAGACATCGTTTGAAAATCTGTAAAGAGGTTTTAATGCGACTGTTTGGTTGGGACAGTGGTTAGGCGATTGGAGTCGCAGCTGCTCCAACAAACTTAGTTTTGACACACTCGACTATATATTCCCAACAACGAATTTGAACAAAACTTAAAAATTTGAATAAAACTTTATTACCCGAGTAAGTACACCCACGTGAGCGTAATTATAATTAAAGCTGATGTAAAGTACAAATTAAGTGAATTATTATATGGTAATTAATGTCTGACGTATTGTTATAATTTATGGCACTCATTATCATTGCGTTATTTAACTCTAAACAAGTGCTTTAGTTACGCAAATTATTATTATGGTATATTACTGACTTGTTTGTGTACTTGGTTGGTAGCGAATTAGCAATTCTTATAATAACTATCGTGAGACATACTAAACTAACTAAAATCGGGGGTTGACGTCGCCGCGACCGCGCACGCTGCTCATGAGGAAATAGTGAAAAAGTGGAAAAAGAGGAAAAAGTGCGCCATGATCAGCCTATTTTAGGCATACAAATAATCGTTTAAGAGTTTAAATCAATTAATTAGTTAGGTAAGTAAATATGAATTTGTCGTGTTTTAATGAATTACATGTCAATATTGTTCGTCAAAAAGTCAGATGATGAAAACTACAAAGTGAATAATAAGTCATAATAAATTGGTATCAATAAGTATGTAATTAATGGATTATTGTAGTCAAGACATTAAATTTAAGTCAACAAATAACTTACTTACAAAAAAGCAAGTTCAAGTAGCCAAGAAGTATATAGTGTGGCTTAAGAGCTGTGGTGTGGAGGCTCTATGTATTTAAAATACAGATATTCAGTTCATAACGTTGACAATAACTACTTAAGGCTCAACCATCACTCGAATTAGAAAAGACTAAAGAAAATGGGTCAAAGTTGTCTATTGGATGTAAGAACCTACTACCGCTTAAAAGCCCTTGAATATGATGGTAAGCGAATTTATCTGGTGCGGCGTCGTGGTTGCGTTGACAAATATACAACAACAACAATTTGAGAATCACAGAGAATCCGGCAGTTGACAACGAGTCAAATTCAATACTTTTATCTATATGTCAAAAACGATACTTTTCTATGAATTTTGTATAAAATATACCAACTTATGACTTCATCAAATTTTTGCATAAAATAGCACACTTATTTCTGAAATACGACTAAATTGAAAATTAAGTATATCGTCAAATCGAAGAAAGAAAATGTTTTTATTTTTGAATATTTAATCTTATTGAAAACATCTAAATCACTTATTTTTGACCCACTAATCTACCCAATTGCTCACAAGTTGCAGCAGCATCCGGTTGTCATGCCATTGCGCCAACCATGCAACCAATTTTCAATTTAAGCCTTCGGGTCATTTTGGTCAGACACGCCTAGTGCTAAGCTTTACAGCTTAACCTAGCTCGTCAGGGTTATGTTATAAAGTTATAATACAGCAATTTAGTCATTTTAAAAACTTACCGGCACAAAACCGAAGTAGGTGCCGGTTTTGTAGACATACTAGCACATGAAGCTACCCGTAACTATAAAAATTTCTCCAAATAAATTTCATCTTTATTACAAGATGATAAAGTTAAAAGTTTATTAGAGAAATTTGACAGTTTGAGTTAGTTTGATGTGCTTGGCGTCTGTAGTAGAGGCACGTCGTGCTTATATGCGTGTTTTAATGATATTGAAAGCATTGAGTATCTGCATAATAAACAGATTTTCACGGCGTGTTCTTAAGAATTTAGTACTAAACCGACACTGCTTTAATATCTTATGCAAGACTTAGCGATGCTTCGAAGTACCTAAGTACTGACAACGCAGACAAGACTCGCCCATTATGTTTGGAATCTAAAATGAAGGATTTTCTAATATCACGCATTATAACATCACGCGTTCCATACCTCGAAGAAGTAGGCAGAGGTATGTATGTAGTTGGGAATGAACGTATTAGCGACACATCGAACATAATTTTCTGTTTAAGTGTAAATTGCTTATTATAGTTTATAGTGTGAAAATGTGATAATTAAGCTGCGGGTGGTAATTAAAGTTATAGTCGTGTAGCTAGTTGTTATACTTTTTAGATGGGTTACTAAAATTTATGTGTCCGGTGCGTTCGCATTACACGAAGGTGAAGGAAACTTAAGATGTCAGGATGGTAGTTAAAAGTCTGTGCAAAAACGCAGATGATGGTTTTGTATTTAAATATTCGGACGAGAGTATATTTTGTCTTAAGATATAGTATAATGCCACAAAAAAGAGTATGCTATATTGTCCACATATATTCGGTAATGACACACTTAACTTTCATAACCACAGTAATAATAACTTGTAGAAATCTATACAAACACAAAATCAACTTTATAAGGCGACGTCAAAAATCACAATAACGATGAAGCGATGAAAAGGCTTCGAATATAAAAGTACGGCACTAAACACGGACATTAAATGGTTCAAAGTCATTAGTCATTTATCTGACAGCGGAACAGCGGAGCGACAACACATTACGAGGCAAACAAGCAACTATACCATACGTGATTAAAATGGATGAGAAACGTGTCGAAATATTGTCGAAAATGTGAAACTACAAATAAAAACGTCAACATTACACGTGTCGTTAAAAAGTTGTAATGTTTATATTTATGTTAACGACGTGTGGAGTTACTATGCCGTCCTAGTGATAAGGACAGCCCACTCGGAAACAAAACTAGACAATGATGTCAAGAATTCACAATGCTGTAAACCTTTTAACCTACCACGTTGATGTCAGTGTGTCCGCTGTGAGAGTCGGTATTCATCAGAAAAACAGTTAAAGTGTAAATCATAGTAACATGTGCAATAATAAGTAATTAATAAAAGGAATGATAAATGTTTACTATTAGCAGGTTATAGCAACACTAAAGCAATAACAATTGTAAAGGAACTGGTTGTAATTTTGGTCGCATGATGGACAGACAGCTCGTTACTAATTGTCCGCTCCTGCGGAATTTACAAGTGTGTGCAACACTTTTAGTTGCCAAGTCTGACATGCAACACCCGCGGTACCGCTACACTTTGTAGTTAAAGTCTCCAGCTAAATTAGTGGAAGTGTACAATATCGTCGTACACATTGTAAGGAGTTAGCGAGTAACATTATAACTGTATGATGGAATTCATTAATGATACAGCATCCCGGTTTACTTAAGTATTTCAGCGGTTTATTGTCGAGACATGGGTTAATAAAAGTAGAATTTATTGATGGTATAACGTCTGTGCTTTTATGTATGCTTGTATGAGATAGGAACCTGTACGGGTGGTGGCGAAGGCAGGGGCGCCTCCCAGGCTTGTCACAAATCTCCCCAGATGACTGCGCGCTTGCCGCGATCTACAGACGCCAGTAATCCAGACTGAGGATGCCATGACACCGCCGTTACTGCCGACCTGAAAATAATAAATTACATTTATATGGTACTAGCATAAGTTTTAATTGTGAATGTAAATAAAGATACATGAATCAAATTATCGAAAAATTACTTCAAAATAGGTCCAGAGGGAAGAGACAAAATAGGTACAAAGTCATTACAAAAGAAGCACCTAATACAATGAGAAAATTACAGGTACCATACTGAGAGGCTCTATAAAGATTATACAACCGCAGTGGTCGGCAATATTTTGTGCAACTTGGACTTAGTGGTCGTGTTCAGCAGCCGCGCTTACGACCACTAAACACAGATGCATAATTAACTTCAAATAAAGCAATAATAAATGTTATTTCTAAATTTACAAAGAAAGAGGTTAAATAACATCCATCTGCATATAACGGTCACACAAAAAGTATCATCTTCAATCTACATGTGCAAGTACCTGAACACAAACATTTTATGACCATTGATGCTGATGATGATTGATCAAATTAGGGTTTAGCCGGAAAATATATGCAAAAATGTTTATAGTGGCCATCAGGCTATCATCACGACCACCTGCGTGTAACACGAACATTTTCTTCTAAGATCAGCCACAAAAATTGAAAGTTTAATCTTTGAAGTTAGCTAGGAATCCCGACAAAATCTAAGTTCACCGGGTCATAAAATAAAACAAGTACTTAGTTTATCATAAAACTGGAGCGTTTTTGTGTGCAAGTCGCATGAACCGTTACATTTCTCAGAATATTATATGAGGAGACTATGAACGGTATCCGGCGTTATATGACCGTACATTACGAATATTATGTCGCAGTTTAAATCTGTGTTACTAGCACTTACAGATACTCATCGGGCTCTATTAACACATCGACTCTTAAATGAGATTAATAAAAAATATGTCCAATAAAAAAACCAATATTCTTGACCATATACCGAAGATGATCGTAGAATGGAGAGCGGTCACGACGTTTGAAATACATTTCAGTTTGCGGGATCCATTTAACTTATAAGGAAGGATTGTGACCCGACAAGTCCATAGTCGTACAATTTCGAGTATAGGAACTGTTGTACGCAGCTTTGATTGTCGGAGGCCGCTTAAAGGCTTTACATCGTATCTATGCGGGGCGAGGCCTCTCATAAACAAGAATTAGCGTCGGGTTTGTTCGGCTCGTTTACACATACCGCTCCCGGTCGCGTATAACGAGCCTGACCAGGGATATCCAATACGGGGACTAGGAAGCGCCGTAACACGAACAAATCTGGTAAGCAAAACCTGCGATTGTTTCCTTATTGCATTCCGCCTCCGATATCATGATTGTTTTTATTGAATCATATCATAGCAGTACGTGCGCCTGGGCCAACATGTTGTTCCGACTGCTCTGATTACTGTCGGAAACCATCTCCTCGTCAGAAACTTAATAACCGTTAATGTATTCAATTTCTATATTGGACTCCATGCGCAGTTAATTAAGTGATGGCTTTAATGGTTCCGCCTACAGGGCAACGTTTGGAAAACGTTGTAAATAATAATTAACGCTGAACTAAAGTAATAAAATGTTGAGAACCGGATTTGTTGATCGATTTATTCTGTACATGAAAATATAATTAGCGCATGGCCGATATTTACACGTTGCTTGAATATTTATATTGCTATAAATGGACATACATAAATGTGTATGTCGTTGTCGTATTTCTTACTCCCGGCCTGGCTTGATTCATAACTAAGTAACAGGCCTTCAGTGTTCGGAAACAGGTTACCCAATAAAGTAATTTCAAGAACCTATCTGCAGCGGTCGTTACCCTTTCCGCTACAAAAAGCATGCACCGCGATTAGTCGAGACCAATGTCCGGACATACACTACATACCGTACTGGCGCTGGTGATCTCGAGGGTAGTTAAAAACTGATCATACGGGATTTCCAACAAAAGAGACTTGCCTTAGGCGCACTCAAGAAATGCTTAATTTAAAACGTGAACCGCGGTCTGCATGCACTTAGTACTAAGATTAAATGTGCTTCACTTCGTATCCGTAGCTGTTAGAATAGTACGCGTCGTATTTTCTTTACTCCACATAAGAAAATGAACGTCTGTTAATAATCTCCAACGTTTATTAGGCAATAACTTCTGTACAGAACGAATAAACTATCCGCCGCGGAAATTATTAAGAGCATACACGCGAGGTGGTAGTTATCGGCACTTGTCAAGTTTACTACTTCCACTCTGAAATAAGTTATCATAACAAAAAGTACACTACGAACTGACTAACGAATTATTTTTAGCTCTAAGCCACATTCCACGCATATTTAATTGGAATATCTCGGGATCGCAAGCAATCTGTATCGTCCTTAATCGATAGCCATTTGAAGACGATTAATTGCCAATAATGTATTTTGTTCCGAGTCTAATGATAAGATTCAACGATTGTGTGTCCTGGAGATAAATCATGGTAATCGTGGTTGACAACAATAATGTGTGTCGCACATGTTTGAGCTAATTTTGTGCGACGACCGCCTGCTGGCCGTGAACATCGGACAACTTTGATACAACGTACGCAAAGTACCGCGGATGACGTACAAAAGCCCAACCATAGACCATTACACTAACATCGCGGTTCTATTGCACGAACCATTCCGGAAACGTCCGAACTCATGTTCGGTCAAGTGTGCATTCACTGTATTTTGTACGTTTATTAACTTGAACTATCCGAAATTATTGCTGTTACAGTACTACTATTTGTGGCAGCAATAATTCCATATATTCAGACACTTAAATGATCGTCTCTAAAATATTTCATTATCGTCGAGCAAGACCCTTTACCAAGCAAATGTTTATATACAGAACAGACGTATATTAGGAAGTAATTTAAATGTTTGCAATGACATGTAATAGTCACAGTCCCTCCGCGGTTAAAAGCGTATGAGTATGAAATAGGAAACAATGGCTGGCCTTAAGGAAAACAATCTTTATTGCTCATCTCACTTTATTTCGATATTGTTGTGTTCAAATTGATTTTAGCCGGAGATGATAAGAGTTTTATGTCACAACGGTATACTGTAGGAAACCGTAGTAATGTTTGTTTCAATATTGAATCAGACTCGACAATACAGTAATAAAGTGGGCGAGTAGCTTAACTGTTCAAACTCACATCGAACACTGAACAAACTCGCATCAGCGTGGTACCTATTACTAAGCGAAAATATGCATGTCGAGATGCGGAGGAATGTTTCCGCGTTACTTTTGTCCTTGTTACGGTAAAATTGTTTACACTATTGTGTGTGGTGTGTCGGCGCGAATTAAGTGCGATTGCATCGCGCCGTGCACTTGTGGTGGACACTGCGAGGGAACAATATGTCCCATTTGCGGCGATCTGCGGGAGAATGGGCCCCTACGACGGGTTGCGCGGGTGTCTTGACAAAGATTCGATCAAGTCCTATTGCAGCGAGCGCTGCCGATAAGACTGGACGCGACGCTCGACAAGACCTAAGGGCAAGCAGTCCTTTGACTGCCGCGCTTGTCTACGACCAGGAAGTGCTATCGTAAATAATGTGCCATTTAAATGTACGATATGTCTTTAATATTCAACTAATTAAATATCACAGTGTGGAACAAGTACATACAATGCAGTAGAACGTAATGCCTTCCTACAAGCTTAGATTACTTGTCGGATTCCAGAAAATCACATTACAATGTTTTGGCATTTCGTATTCAAATGGATTCAAATGTCATTCTTTACTTTAATCGCATCGAGCAGGTGTGACGATAGCTTAATGCCAAATAAATATGCAGTGTACGGTATGGGAAAGAGAAATTTGCAATGGTGAGACAGTCGAGCCAATGTTGACCTCACGATTTCAATTGTCCATGCGAAATGTTACGGGGATAGCGAACGATGTCGCGACTAAAACAATTCCAGTTTAAAATTCAAGGTCAGAAATGTGTCTGCTGAAAATTTATTGCGAATCTCAAAGGTCACATCTTCCGTGAGCCACAGTTACAGTTAGAAAGAAACGAACGAATTGAAAACAAATTGCAGCGCTCCGCAAACGCTATAGGTGAGCTATTGTTTAGGACGTCTGTAGATTATATCGAGAGCTATTTCAATAACTCAAGATATAAATTAGGTATTTTGTGATTATAGTAATGGATTTATTGTCTAGTAGCAAATGTGGATCTCAACTGGGAATATTTGGAGCTATTTCTATTGTGTTTTATATCGCTCCATATAATCAGACTAATGTCATTGTCTTGCAAAATTCTGACGTAAGAATATTTAGTTGGCAGTTGTATACAAGGGAGGTATAATGAATTAGAATCCTGATCTATAAAGAGTGAGGTAAGTTGTAAAAGTGGAGGAACTGGTTGCAATGGTCCGAGTAAATCAGTGAGTTAGCAACCGCTTATGCACCTCGCTATCTTTTAGAATAAACTTAGTACTTAGTGCAGCGATACTAGTTATCATGATAGAGATACCTGTAAGCTCGGTGACATCACCGTTTTATTTTATATCCTAATGCGACGACATAATCATCATTGCGTAGATATAGGAGTCAATAAACTAATTAGCGGAACGAGATTTAACTTGAAGACTTCATGAGAGAGACCGTTGCATAGAGTATAGTCAAAGGCGTCTTTACTTAATTACAGGTACTGTTGAGGTGTTAAACAGTTTAACGTCAATTTATGGTTAATGGGTTTCGACGAGTGATTTTCAGTTTAAATTGCTTTTTCGACTGATCACGGAAACGCAATTATAACAGGGAATTAAAGATAGTTTGAGGAGTTCTTCGAATTATACTCGGAATTTTAATTCGATTCCAGATTTGAAAATTTCAGTGTTGCAACGTTATGATAAGTACTAAATAGTGACGTTGCGAAATTATTCGATATGGAAATGCAATATTTCTGGATCGATTCTTCTTGTTTATAATTTTATTCTTGTAAACTAAGTATATCAGGAAATTAAATATTTCTGAACCGATAATTTAGTTTTGAAGATTAATTAACGATCTGAGGCTTTTCTTTTATAATTGTGTGTGAAATAAATAAAAAAATGTAATAATGAAAGAACATGACCAATAAAACACATAGATGTATTATGGTAATAAGTTATTTTATAAATTGTCGCCGTCATCGCTATCGCTATCCTGTCACTTTCTGTAACATTTATTATAAAACACACACACTAATTGTTCATCGATTTTTGTGTTCATCACTACACTATTGTATGTAGTATCATTATTTCACAAAATGACAGTAGCTATTGTCAAATCTCGAATCTATTTAAAATTCTGACTATAGGTGAAGACTTGGGGCTTTATTTAACCACTGCAAAGCTGTGTATCAATGTTTGTATGTATTTATAAATTGTACAATACAAATGGCTGGATCGATATTGTAGATTTGTTTCGTGGGTGCGGTCTCTTGGATAGTTTAGTTTTGTTATTGAACGAAGTGGGTGGCACAGCGATCGAGTTCCACAACATTCCGCCACTGAAATGTTACTTATTAACTTTAAACAAATAATTAATCATAATAATATTCAATATTAAGATGCCTTTTTTACATTTAGTTTTCAAAGCAGGTTTTACCTAAAAGCTAGTCACAGACAACATAAAAACAGCTACGTTAATTAATGTCATGTATCTAATATAAAAAATAGATAATCATTAATTAATGAAGTTGTTAATTGGAGATAACCCTGTCATTAATATTCACTAGTGTCAATAACATTTATAATGATACCTATAGAATAAGTTTGTGTGATAAAATTAAGTTTGTACTGAATTTCCTTAGTAGTATTAAATATCAAATAACAACAATTTATAGGTTATATTGTGTTTGTTAGTAGTCACAACAAATTATAAGTGATCCATTTCTGTGTAAACGTTCTGTGACAACTTCTCACATTGGGCATTTTTTAACTATATATTTATACCTAAAAGTTAAAATGTGAAAGTTTGTGAGGATTTGTGGATGTATCGTGTTACTCTTTCACATAAAAACTAAGAATGAAATGACGCACAGAGTTAGATAAAGTAATCGTGAATGACAAAATACTACTTTCCAAACTGATAATACGTGCAAAGTGGCCGCACAAAAATTCATAATACTACATTCAAATATTATTTCACAGCTCATTATTTATTAGACTTTAATTAACATAGAATTCAAAATGTACTTACGTGTGATCCTTGAGTATAGTTTCGAGTCGTCCGGAATGTGTGTTCCATACATATGCGGCCCCGTCAGCCGCGCCGACGGACAGCAGTCGCCCGCCCGGACCGAACGCCGCCCGCGACCAGTCGCACCCTACCTTGAACGACTCGTGGCTGAAATGCAATACAGTAGTTGATAACTTTTTATTTATTTATAGCTTTTGTTCAGAGGTGACAATTTGTTTTTATCTTAAGTGTAGGTTATGTTAGTTGTGATTTTAAAACATATTTGCTAGGACATAAAGGCCTACTCTATTCTGGCGTTTTTATCACCACTCTACTCCAAATGATTCAAGTTAACAGATGTTATAATCAAAAATGAATTATTCGTAACGTGTAATCAATTGATGTAATTATAATTACATATAAATATTGTATTGTAATGAAAAGTTGAAATATATCTTTTTCACTGAGGAAAATACCTAATTAGCCCTGTATACAACGCGCCAAATAACTCTACCGCTATAGACCGGGACAGAGATATACAATACGGTAAAGAGTGATAAAGACAGCAATAATCTTGGCTGAAATGCAATTAGTTGTGTAGACTTTGTCACGTAGGCACTAATAAGTCTATCGCAGAAACTTAATGTACAGGTGTTTAGGATACCTTCTGATTCACATTGGAATGTGGCCAACGCAGAACTAGAATTTTCTATATTTTATTTGTTTCTTTAATTAAAAAGTTGTTAATTAACTCAAAACTAAAATGTTTTTCGTGTCGAGTCGAAATTTAATTAAATTTTATTAATTTGGTCCACGATACTCTCGTAATATTAATTAATAAATGTAAATAATATAATTATTTATTTATATTTAATGATCATCATCTCTCAAGTTATTTATTATCTCAATATAATAAATCAAAAGAACACTGAAAATAATCAATTAATAAAATACCAATTACATTTAGTTAACGAACTTTCTCATGAGATTGTTTATAATATCATCATGATAAAGTTGGTGTTCGATGCTTTTCGGCAATCCCGATATGTTATCGCAATCTGTTGTAGCCGACATTAAAAATTTACAATATATTTATTTATACACTATATTAATTTACAGTAATAAAACAGTATAGGAAGTAAAATGTAATTAAGAAAAGTATTTTTCTTTAGTGCCATGAACTGATAAGTGCCATATAAGAAAATAACTATGAAAACCTAGAAAAAACTATACAGTCTGCAAAGAAGTACAATTCATGTAATTCTATAGTACATAAGTAAAAGGAAATTAACTTTCCTAGTACAAAAGATTTACGAGTGAGAACCAAACAAATGTCTGTACAACAAAAGACATCAACGCGCTAGACTGATGTATGTCGGTACTTCGATATGTTAACAAAAGGCAAATGTTTATGGTCTTCTAATGTTACAGTTATGAGACTATTTAGAACGTATCGAACTCTGAACTGCCTGATTTTAAGTAGTAAAATAGAGAAAGCAAACTTCAGAATTGTTCAGAAATTGTATAATGTTCGGTTTTGATATTAAATCAACACAGATTCTATGTAGTAAATTCTTTTTTGTTGTTTTATTTTCGAAGTTAAGTTTAGATTTAGATAAATATTAATTTTAACTTTTTATTTCTCAAAGTTGCACACAATATTCATCTCTTTAGTTTTACAAATTTAAAAATCCATTGATTATTGTTCTCACCAAAATATTTCGCAACCTTTCGTATAGAACACACGCTTCAGTTTACTGAAGCTCCTTACCTGGACAGTCTATAATTTACGTACCTCTGTTTCAATTTAAATTTAAGCAAATATTATTTGGTTTACCACTATTGTTCTAGAGTGAGTCGTAAAATCCAGAATATCTAACTGTAAAGATTTCTTAGACTATTACATCGCAGGAAAAGACATAAAACTTTATACTGGCGCAGCAGAGTTACAAGTAATAATAATAAATTATAGTGTACATCTGTACGTACCTGAAAGAACGTACGATGGTATTCATCCTCAGATCTATTAGTTGTATTGTGTCGTCCCGAACGCACGCCAGCAGGTAATTGTTGTCTGAAAATAAAGTTCACGTGTCAATAAGAATTTAAAAATACGTTAACACATCAACCGCTTCACAGTTCCGACCAATATAATGTATTAGTGATCATAAAAGTTTGATTTATAGATGATGTTCAATCTGATACAGATGTAAGAAAATATATACATACTAATTATTGCTCGCGACTTCGTCCGCACAGAATATTAGAGTATTAGACTTTTTTGTTTCAATTTTCCAAAATATAAGTAGCCTACATTAATCCTTAGTACATCAGTTACATGCCAATGAAAGTTTTGCAATATCGGTCCAGCCATTCCAGAGCTTAGGAAATACAAACAGACAGATGGACAGACTGACAAAAAATGTAATAAATGTTATTTTGGTATGTGTATCGTATGTATATACATATGCATGTAGTAAAAGGCTGATATTTTAATATTATAAAACGATACTCCAATTTTATTTATCTGTATAAATTACATTCATCAGACAATAAGAGTTTTTGATAGTCCACAAATGGACTATGCACCTTCTCTGGATAAGAAGGGTTTGCTGTGATCTCCACGCTTGGTAGTTTGAAAGGTTTAGGTTGACCAGAGAGCGCTATTGTTTGGTCTCTGTTAATTAACTATGTAGTTCCTTAATCGCCTCTTGCCACATCTGCGGGAAGAATAAGGAGGGACAAACAAGTGTATTCTATTCCGTTTCCACCACAAAGATTGAAATATAAACATATTAAGCTTTCGCCTAATTTAGACAATTTGTAATCGAAAATCCGCTATGTTCTTTATTGCTGCTTCGATAATCGTTGCGAAGGTAATGTTTAACCTTAAACCTTTAACTGGCGCTTAATAGTTTTAATGTAAGGTAAACAGGTCCACGGATCGGGCACACCGCTTTATTAAATTAGATGATTTAAGTGTACGATAACATCATCGTTTCATTAGCTATCAGTCCGTATGAAGAGCGATCAAATGTCTTGAGGTCAGTAATAAATTCTGATGCGGTTTGCGAGCCATTAGTTGTTACTGGTACAAACGTGAGATTGGCGTCAATGTGCTAACATCAGCTAGGTACTAGGAAAGCAGTGCTCGCGTCGTGCTACAGCAATTTATACGATAATCTACAATTTACGTTTACATGTTCTTTCATTCATTAGAATGAATTTATCGACTTGAATTTATGATATTTTTACACGTTAATCTATAATGATAAATTATATCTCATTTTAATACATCATAAATATTAATGTAAACATAGAAATTTGCATTTTCGATTTTATATTTGAAAGTGTTGGTTGATATTACTAATCTTCATGATCTTCAATATTGGCGAGATTAAGTAAAGGATAGGATAGACAAGGTGATAGTGACAAAGTATTAAACTTATACATATTTATATGAATATGACTTTCATTCAAGAGTAGCTAAGAACAGAAGACTGTATTTATTGCTGTTATTTATCAGAGATTGTATTTATTCTCCGATGGAATGTATGTGGTACATATCTTTCAACGCTACTAACCATTTAATTTCAACTACAATAATCTTGAGAAAATAGCTTTTTGTTTTATGGTTTTATCAAGAATGTTGTCATTAATTTCTCTTTCCACTTACAATACCATCAATAAATATGAAGAGAACAATCTCGATGAATGAGATCTATCACATAGTGCATTTCTTTCTTCAATAAAATCCTCAATGGACTATCATATATCTTTCTGAACGATCTATTCGAACGATAAAACGATTTTTTTTCAAATTGCTTCTATCTTATTGAAGTACCTGGTTTCACAACTCTTATTTTGCTTTCATGCAATCATTTTAATTACAACCGTTTTTTATCAATTAAAATAATAATTGAGAATTAATACTTAAAATACTTTAGCCCCAATTTGTACTTCAATAAAATTGGTAATGAATATAGGACACATGCATTTTGGAGCTCTAGTTATTTGTGCGCCACATAGTGCAGTGCATGATAGATTGTCGATAGCGCTGATGGATCTGGATCGAGCGTGATGTCTAACTGTGAACTGTCTCCTCATTCATTTGTCCGATGAAATCGACGTGATTTAATCAGTTTCCGAGGCAGTGACGTCCCGACACCGCGATTGATTGGAGGTATCAATCCGAACGTTTCGTGCGATGCACAGACCGTTACTGACAAAAAAGGGATCGATCGAGAAACGCGTAACGGAAATGGGCATTGCGCACCCGTCACGTTGTAGTGCTGACACGAATACCAATACTAATATGCGATGCATTCAATTACAGAAAATTTACAAGTACACAAAGCACCGCTAATTAGTTCGAGGCGCTACACATCGACATTACTATCATTTACACAGTGAACATGTGTGGGTAATTTCATATTAATAGATATGTATAGAAACATTCGTTCTATCACACACATCTTGGTATTACATATCATTTTTGTGTCGGTATACGTAATATTTTAGTAAATAAGTTTAAATAAAAACGAGGGTAAAGATAAAAATACTCATAACAAACTTTGAATAAATCGAAATCAAAAATAATGAACGATCGAGCAATACAATACTTATATAAATATAGTGCATTCTCATTGTATTTTTATGTTACTGAATGATATACAATATTTCGATGTTCTCATCTACGGCGCGCTTGGCGCAATGGTTATCGCCTCCAGTGGTCAAGTAAAGTGCCACCGGATCGATTCCAGCATTCACATGTTGTTTTAGTATTAATTAATCAAATATTTGAAATGTGAAATTAGAAACAATTAAATCTTTTCTTTTTTTCCTATCCTATTTTTCTAAATCTTATGTTAATTTTAATAGTAAATACTTTAGATTTATTTATACCTATAATATCCTTTATTTATATTTTAGTTCTAGTTATTTATTATTTAGAATAATTTAGAATGATTGGAAGAACTTTAAAGTTAACATGTGGTATATAATTAATTATTAGATATAAATATTGAATATAAAACCACATATTTGTATAATTAATAAATTAATTTTAATAAAAAATAGTATTGTTTTATTTACCGACTGATTTGCTTCTTTTATAGCCTGATATTTATATTATATGACAAAAAACAAAAAAAAAATAAATAAGAAAAACAACAAGGTAAAATAAAAAAAAACTTTCAGCTGGAATAGAACCCACATCATCATTGATCCTTGATAGACGATAAAAGCGTACTCATTAACCAATCGACCACGAGCACTACGATAATTACAGTGAAAATGTCGGGTCATATCAATGATTGTAAATAGTTTTAACCTTACCCATGCATTAAATTATAAAAATACGTATACCGACACAAGAATGAAAATACCAATGTGAACGTGGTGGACGAATATTTTTATACACAGTAATATGAAATTACCCACACATGTACATTGTGTAAATGACAGTAGTGTCGATGTGAGCGTTACGAACTAATTAGCGGTGCTTTGTGTACTTCAATCTATAAACAGCTATTTAACATTTGATGCTGTGTACTTGTCTCGCAGCTGAACACAGGTAGCGATGTTAATCTTAACTACTGTTCCTTTAACTGCTCGACGGCTTAGTTAATTTCTTGCATTTGAATATTAATGGATGTACAAGATTAATGGTGCCATCTCATCGTTGCTGTCTATAAAATCATGCTATGACTGTTAGAGTATGGGTGCGCGCGAAGGTTCAAGCAAGGTACATTTCCTTGCGTTTAAATATATTGGCGTTGACAGAAGCGGTGCTGAGATAAACACATACCTCTACTGAGATCAAGCGAGGTGACCTTTCCTTGCAGCATTATATCATTGGCGGACATCTCGGTGCGAATGTCCCAAAACCTGATCCTCTTGTCGAAGTGTCCCGAGATGATGGTGGAGCCGGCCCCGTCTGACGTCACCAGGTCGTTACACGACGACCCCGCGAACTTTGTCTCGGTACCTGTGGAAGCGTGCATTATAAAATCTGTGTCATACAACGGTTGATCATAACAATAAAATTTCCTGAAGGCCTATTTAATGTTTACAGTAAATTGCTTGCGTGTGTTATTGCAGTCATGACTAAAGATTCTTCGTTGTGTAGATGTTAAATTTTATGACTAATACGAGTATTTTAAGTGGACGCTAACCCGTGATGTAATAAAGCCATAATTTATTGTTGTGGGTAAATTATTGCGCTATACGTTATGATTACTATCGTTGTCCTTAGGGGTATTTATTTTATTTGGTGATTATAGGATTCATGGGACATAAATAGCGTATACGGTAGCTGCAATTATCTTCTCAAGTTTCGAATGCGTTGGTATGTATAGTGTATTTTACGGAATCCCAGGAAGGAAAATTGTTTTAAGTAATAGTTAATAATAAAAACAAAAACAGTTGAAGAAGCAACATTACACATTACTAATACACATGACGTAAACCATTTGTCATTTATGGCTACGAGATTTCGGAGCTATTTTTGGCGTAGCGGCTACAGTTCTATTTTTGTCGCTTACAATAACCTCACCACCTTTTGCCATATCTACTTACTAGCTTAAGTTACACAATTAAATGGATAGACAGATTAAGTGAAACGAGAAAATGTACTCTCATTAAACAGGGACAAGTTATAAATAGCATTACAAGGAAAAAATTGACGATAACTTATTTGGATGTATCGATGGCGTAGAAAAAGTACAAGTTCACGTAGTCTTCACTTGATTGCGGCTAACCACAGCTCGCCGTCTCTATACCGATGAGATTTACAGATCGATGCACTACAATACCTATGATATTCTTTTGTACTAAATTCATACACTGACTAGATTTTGTCTGCGGCTTTTTAATCGCGGAATTCAGAAGCTTTCTCCCAATGTTCATAATGGACTATGGTTTCATAATGGACTATGAACAATAATGGCTGTTTTCATCGACCACTTCTAAATCATCTCTTAACTAAAAGCTACTCGGCGTGAATAAATACCCAAACTAACCTTTTACCTCTTAGTTCCTTAATATTTAAAAGACGTTGGTTGACTTATGACTGCCTCGTTGGCCGAGTGGTAGCAAGTGCGACTACCGGGCAAGAGGTCTCGGGTTTGATTCCCGGGTCGGGCAAAGTAATATTGGGTTTTTAAAAAAATCTCAGTAGAAGCACGGAGTCTGGAATTGTGCCCGGTATATGGCAATAGGCTCACACCCTATTACATGGGACTCGTAACATAAATAGTCAAAAAGTGGGTGTTACATTGTACAGTGGCATGATGTGCACCTCTGCCTACCCCTTCGGGGATAAAAGGCGTGATGTTATGTTATGGTATGATGGTGAAATCGGGCATAAGTCTACTGGTGAGAAAAACATTTTTAGAATCGAGTAACTTTAGAGCCCATTCGGCATAAGCAATCAAATTAGTGAAGAGCTGAACGTCAACCAATTATGTAAACGAGTTGTAACTAAAATATCCGGCAATACTTAAACAAATTCAGTATTTTACGAGGCGTACGAAGAATACTTCTATAAACATAATGCAAGTTTTATTGTTAACCCGTCGCGTACTTCAGAAAGTCTTAAATATATATTTTATCTTTATAGGTACCAGTTTAAGTTGGCAGGCGGCGAAATAGGAAACTACTAAAATGAAATTGAAATACCATTAAACGTAATATAATCATCGTTAAATAACTTATACCTGTCCAGGGGTTATTGGACGAAATAATATAATTTCCGGCATTGGAAATGTCAATATGTATTACCCTCTTACTCTAGTTCTGACTGCATAGAAGGTATAAATAATCTAACGTTCATAAATAATTATATATTGCAATGAAACTCATATAATATCCAAGATATGTTAACAAAAAAGCAATAGGATTATATAGACTTGTAGCCAGAGCCTTAGTTAATACTCGTGCAGACAGTTACCACATCGTTCGTAATGAGTTAATTTAAAAATATTAAATAATCTGTCAATTCTTATCGATACCTGATGTTTATCTATGACAAGTCCCAATATAAAGCGTGTTTGAAAAAATACTAATGTAATAAATTGAACTGTGTGTCGGCGCTACGGGACGCCGTAGTTATTCACACTCGATTGAGAATTAAGTCATAAATAGATGATTGCTTATGAAATGTGAGTAACAATATACTGGCTACTTGTTTGGGAGGTCTTATTTTGTAGTTTAGTTTCTAGTTAATTAAAGTTGCTTCGTCGAAAATTCTGCTAATCATACAGCATTGAAAAGTTCTTATTTTTTCCCATACACTTTTTTATATATCACAAAATTTTACGTATTGCATTTTTAGATTAAGTTAGACGTGCTCCAACATCGACCACATTATCGCTTGGCGAGATGGTGGCCAAACGTCGACCTATCAAGTATAAAAAAAAAATATTTTCAGTAAGTTGCAAATCACTTTCGTCTTCCTTCTCCTTCTCCTCCTTCCATGTCATTGGCAAACACAGCTGCAGTCTATCGTGAGCTCTCACGTGGCGAGAAAAACCAACTAATAGTTTTCGTGTTACATCTTATATGGCAGAACTTTATGTGCCACAGCCATAAAATAAGTAATCAAGGATTTTCCAATTAACGAAGCTTATTCTAATTAATTGTTATAAATATGCTATGGAAATAAGGAAGCACTAAAATGAGTAACTAATTGTGTACGGATTACATTCAATCAGTTCTCGGAACAAGTGATTGCCACGGTTCGGTTAGCATTACAATCTCATAACTTTGGTTTAATGGTGTTATCTATAAAGATCCAATAATTGTAATATGTTTATGAGGACGAGTTCCCAGACGTTTATAGTCTGAGAACACCCGTGCTTGCTCCTCGTATCGAGTGTGTAATAAGTTATCGATACCAGTATATAAGTTACAGCTCTACCGTCGAAGGAAACAACCAAGCTTCTCGTAAATCACTGAAAAAGGAAGTTTAACTAGTGCAGTATGGAATGTAACAAATATTTTTTAATGGTTAATATCCTATTCCTAGACCTTTGAGGCTAATATCCTCTTAAAGTTAACAGAGACTAATCACGAATGTTAAGTGAAACAGCTCTAAACACCACTTAGTGTTAGTTCGCAAGCTCAAGGGAAAACAAATGTTAGCTAGATAAATTACACGAACGAACGTATCAAATAAATGTATTGCCGCTCTTAAGATAAAATGCAAATTTTTAACAGACACTAAAATAGGAAGAGTTTCGTAGTTGGAATTCTAGATAATGCTTAGTAGTTTCGCAGGTTAGATTAAATGTTTCACTATGAATATTATCTCGGAACCTTATAACGGCATTTAAGAGAGGACAATCGAGCACTACCTTTCATTTACCTAGATTTAGAGAACCTATGATTAGATCTGAGTTTAATATATTTCTTAATGTTAATTTCGTTTCTATAGTGCACACGGCCGGCATTTGAATTTATGATTGGCAGCAATATTCGGAATGTTTTGAACTTAAAGTGGTTTAATTAGATTATGTTGTAATGTTTGTAGTTGTTGTCTCTGTGGCTTTTGATTCTTGCTATAAGATTAATAATTCTTTGTTATGATGCTATAAAAGCTAGAACAATAATTAAAACCTAAATTCTTTAATAGAAGAAATTATTCCTTTAATTTCAATAAAATGTAAATGCCCGTATAATATATTTTTAGTCGGAAAATTCCTAATGTAGTGTAACTTAGAACACGTGATGATGAATTATAATTACAAGATAATTTTGTTCAGAGATTCAGATCAAATGTCCACCATTTCAATTAGTCATTGATTTTGCATTTTGAATCTAGTTACATATATCGTGACGCTTGTCTTCGACCGTAGTAGCCTGAAGCATTAATTAAATATTAATAGGTTATCGATTACTTATATTTTTAATTCGGCCCTTTAAGTTACCAGTCTGCTTTATGCATGCTAAAACTAACGAACATGCGTGCAAATTTACATTATTTCATTTATACCTTAATGATAATTTTCCATTTTTGGAATCCTTTACGATTAATACGAGTAGTTATTTTTGTAACGTTTCCATTACAGAATCGCAAGTTTAATTTCATATTTATGTTAGGCTATATACTATCGTTATGGCGTGCGACTAAATCTTAGTTGTAAGTACTTGTCTGACTTATAAAGGACGTCTGCGAGAAGGGTTTTCACACAATACAATATAATGAGTTATTGTGCAATATATTTGTGTGAGTACTATCAGGAAATAGGATTTTGTTATATAAAATCTGTTTTATTAAACAAGATGTTCCTATGATTTGGTACATACTTACACATTTTACTTCTAAGGTCCCATATTTTAAGTGTTCGATCGTGGCTCCCTGTGATTACTTTCGTGGGCTCACCGAGGAATTTAGCAGCCATTACCTTGCCACTGTGACCCGTCAACGTGTGCTGTAACAAATTAAACGATTTGAATAAATACGTGCAAATAGATATGTAAAATTATCATAATCAGATGCAACGCAGGTTTAATTACAAAAATACAGTCATTGCGATTTGAAACGTGTACGCATAATCAAAGCCGAGTAACCACCTATACTTGGATTATAAAATCGATACGAGTGAGTAAAATATAAAACTTGCAATTTATTAAAAAATATTGATGTAAGAGGCGAGTGAGGTAATAAAATGCAAATGGGCTACTGTCAAGCTCCCGGCGGAGTCGGACAAGGTATACACGTGGCCGCGGCTCCCGGTGCGCCACGAACAACCATTATTGTCTTCTGTTTATAGCTTCGTGATCTCTTCACACAGTTTCACTTAGCACTGCACCAAATCGATGTCTCACGAAGGAAATCGTTGAGGCCTATTTGCATCTAAAGTGCCTATTAATTGCTTGAATGTCACAGTTTGTAAACGACTTGCTGACTTTACGATAATGCTGAATAATGTAATGCGTTTTGAATAACACGGTGTGTTTACAAATACGTTGTTAGGATTTACTGTAGCATTGTGCAACTCAATTTACTCTTGCAATTTGAATGATTCAGGTGTATGTTAGTTCTACGAAAGGTTGGTACAAACATGACTAGCAGTGTATTATTAGAGTATCAAAGCAGTCTCACATTATGTCACAAAAGTTAAATAATAGCCAAGCATAATAACGGTGTGCGGAGTTGTGTAAGTCCAGGCTCACAACAAATACGCAGTGGACTTCCATAATGTCGGTGCTCGAGCCGTAAGACCGTGGCTGGTTCATTAAGGAGTAATGTATTACCTACAATTAACAAACAATCTTACTGGAATCATGACGTTATGGCAGATTTACAACACAAGTTCATTCTAAACATGACAGGCTTGTAGTTAAACAATCTGGACACGCTCAAAATGTCTCCATAACTTTGTGGTAATGCCGGGTAGACGGCTGACCCGCTCTCGCCGTTCTTAATTACAGACAAAACGCTCCGTTATCGGACGGCAGAGTCGACAAGTTTCATTCCATTTAAGTGCAGTAAACAGTAACATAAACAAAGGCTAGAGACGCATACTGCTACTAACAACGCTCTGCACTCGTCCGCCACGCGCTCATGTAAATTAAACATAGTGCACAAGGACTACGCCACACGTTTTTCCGCCCGCCTAAGCTACACAACAAAGTCATTGTAATAGTTCTATCATAAGGAGTACTTATTTGTATCTTCCGCGATAACGATAACACGTGAAGTCATTACAGTTCTTGCTGTTATTACAGAGACGCTCATTTTGTGACATGAATTGCAGCACGTTCTGCAAATTTAGATATCATTATAAAATATTTAAAACGGGCCGATACGTTGAAAAAGATAATGTTAGTAATAAAGGACGTAACTGATGTTATGAGGAGTAATTGACCTCGGCGTATCTCGATAAATACGAATTTAAAAGCAATCATACCGATAAGTACTATTATCATATGTGGTTATTATGTGCATCTTTTATATCGGCGGCGCCCCAGGGCGGGATCGTTTTAAAGTCTAAAGAATATACCACATTTTCGTATTTGTATTTAATATCAGAAAGCTTTTTTAAGTTCCCTAGCAACCCTAGCAATTCCAAGGTGGATGCACTTCTCCTTTCTCTTTCCTTCCTTCGAAAGATCCATTTCTAAACCAAATTCAATCCAGTAAGCACGTTTGGCGAGGAGGAATTAATTAAATTTAATTCTCAAGGCACCATTAGCCAGCGGGTAGTGTTCCCGGACAGCGCACAACGGGACCTTATCATCGCTTTTAAAATTTATAGTATAACGGCTAATTAAGAGTACACTCATTTGGTACGTTCGTCGCGTCACGAGTGCGGGGAGCTTATATGCTGTTTCGGGTTATTGCCACGCGATAGTCAGGGCACACTAATTGAGGGGGTTAAGCGATATCATCCGGACAAGGCCCGCCGACTCTTAACGAGCTAATATAACTTGAAGTACTACATTCCGAATCGGTAGACCTCCCAATGCTCACAATTCGATATTTGATATTACTCATTTTAAAACTTACATCCAATATAATTTTAATAGACTCATATACCAAAGAAATGTAATTTCCGAGCCAAGTTGTTTGGTAATTAGCTTATTGCCAATCCCCATCGGTCTGTAATTACATAGACAATTGGATCAGTCATATTGTATTGTCTGTCGGGATAAATGACAAAGAACAGTACCATGATTTATTATAGTTCAACTTAAAATGTAGTTATAGTAACCTATTGCAATAATTATATTTAATATTTTTAAATTATAAATAATTTTACAATATATGCTGGCCGTTAGAACATAAGTAAATATTGTACGCGCAGCCGGTGAAATAACTTACTCCTTATAAATCAGTTGATTTGAATTGCGCTCTCATTAGTGATTCCAGCTGCGGTGCGTAGCCCAGAAATACACAACTTATTACTTTGGCTACATGGCTAAATCCATTTATAAAGTATCTACATTTAGCTTCTGAATACGCAACTTATCTCTTGTTGATACTCAAATGAGTTCACCAAATAGGAGATAACATTGAAAAAAGAACTCCGGTGTCGGTTTCATTCATGTGGACTTTTGAATTCATATAGTGCAGTCGGAGTAGCTTATAAAGAGGCATATTTTATGATATCAATATGTTGATCTGCCTCATCTGTACATACCATGCACAATCACGAAAACGCTCTGAATATTGCAAAAATAATATGGCGAACTCATTATTATTTTAAGCATGGTGGCGCTACATTTTAGTGTCATTTCGAGATAATCTTTATAATCTCTTCATATTAGCATCTCGAGAGAAACTAGAAAAATGCGAGCAGAATAATACATTGTGGAACATTTGTTGTGAGATAGTGGCAACATAGGTAGGTAGCGAATGTCACGCCTCGTTTCTAGTTCCATGTACTTCCTCGTGTGCGGCTATCGGAGGACATAAACCACGACAGGTGGTTGTTAAATCACAGCAGTGTTCGCGATATGAAGAGCGACAACAGATGCAATCAAGTAGTAGTCGCCGAGGGGGCGCTGCCATTACTTATTTACAGAGCTGAGTAACTAGGTGTGCGAGTTATATCTATTTCCTTTGCCAAGTGATAACGATACTATGAGTGTTCATTTATGATGTCAGCATTCGGATATTTTGCAATTTACACTAGATTATAGCCGTGAAAAATGATCTCGAACAAGACTTACTACTACACGCCTCCAAGAAATTCAAAGTTTCTGTTTCTTTGAAACAAAAATTTTATTTCGCTGAATCAGCGCCTGACGTTGTTTTAATAACGTACAAACTTAATAAGTAATTATGTAGTGACCAGAAAAAAGACGATGAATAGTATGAAATTAATTTTACGGTAATTTCATATTTGAGTAAGATAAGTCTGATTGTTATCCTATGGTGTAATTACGTGGATATTTGTTTAATTTGCATACAGCAGATGAAAGAACAGGCTTTAATGAAATATAACAGAACTTGCGGTCAACGTGCTCCTGAGAACTTTTTGTTTAGGTCATAAAGATGTTTGGATGCGGAGCCTTCCTTTTTATGCCTTGTGTAAGTAACTTACATTAAATTGTAATCAAAATAAAATAATCGAAATTGATGGAATAATGTTTGCGAACTTTTATTGCAGAAATAATGAGCCGTGTATAACAGTAACTATAAACTTTAGTATAAAGGTACGTATGTTGGCATGTGTCCTGTAATTGTACGGTGATACAGAAATAGTATCTTACTTGAGAATAATTAGACTGCGAGTCTTTCTTTTTGTTTGCGAAACTGTAAACGAAAACATTCCAGGCTGAGTAAGAAATAGCGCAATTAACATAAGTCTATAAAGTGTGACTCAAAAGTAAATAGAAATTAACCTTTATATTTAGTGTAAGATCTTTCGTGAAAATAGTAAATTACCATTTCCTGAGGTGTGCGTGCGAACGACGCCACCAGCTGTACAAGGCATGATTTCCACACTATTGAAGGTTTTTCAAGAAAGTATGTTAATTAATGAGAGAAAATATCTATTTCTAATTAAAATTCTTTGTTAGGCTTAGGACACGTCGACGGACAAACGTTAAGAAAAGGATACATTTTAACAGTTTGAAGTTATAGTAATATCATTAGTTGCGTTATACAATTGTAGTTTATAGGAATACAACAATTTTTTTTCTTAAAGCTTGGTATGATTTTGGGATTGTGAATTCGATTAAACCGATCTTTACAAAAAAATTGTATTGATACGATTCAATTTAAGATTTGTAATTCAATTTTAATTAATAACAATCTTGAGGAAAGGTTTTTTTTTACTACATACCAACGCAACGTATTTCGATGAACACAACGCGTGCAATAATTTACGGTCTTTCGTAGACCACATAATAATTTAAACCTTAACATTTGTAGGAAGAATGAAAATGTATTGGCATGAACTTTTATAACGACGACGTATAGGTACTACAGAACTATTTCACAAATTCGACATGATGCGAGATAATTAAGACCTATGGTGTTTTTAGAAGCGATTAAAAATAGAAAAATAAAACGTCTTGATAGAATTTGCAAGGCGAGATGTTCGGAAATAGATTGATTCGCAAGTATATGTATTAGGAACGTATGTATGTTATATTATACTGTAGAAAATGTTCGGGAAAATGTCAAGCAGAGTGCCCGATCCCCCATTAACTTATTCCCACACTGTTTGTTGATAGTGCGTGATTACCTCGCGTTAGTATCGATTGTTATCATCTGTATGAAGCGAGCTAATAAATCTTTGTTTTTCTACAGTATCACTTCGTTTTTGTAAGCTGACACGCTCCCATAACACTGTTTATTTTTTAAATAAATAATACATATTTGCGGCAATTTAAGAGTCATTAGCAACGCTTAAGCGATTAATTACAGTTTAGAGACTACGAAATTATTTCACGCTTATGGCGAGTGTATTAATCA